GTGGAGGCCCTGCGCGCTGCATTCAAGGCAGGCATGGCAACAACGTGGATCATCGGTCCTCGTCGAGGCACTGTCTACCCGGCTGGCCAAGAGGTTGGGTCTGGTAAGGGATACAGTGCCGACCATCACTACGAGGGTCAACGCAGCACTATGTTCGACGCCATCATCATCCCCAGTGGGGCCAAGCACGCTCAGGCGTTGGCAGAGTCTGGTCGGACCATCCACTGGGTGCGTGAGGCGTTCGGCCACTGCAAGCCTATCGGTGCGCTCGGTGAAGGTGAGCTGCCTCATGAACCATACGTTAACGGTTCATTTGCTAACACCCATACAGGCGTCGCCTTCTTGCGCGAAGCGGTGCAGCTTCCTGGCGTGAAACTCGCGTCGGACCTTAGCAGCGACAACGTCACCACGTCGTACGGCGTCGTCACCACAGGCAAATACGATGTGGGCTCAGCTGCTGCGGACACGCTCACGATCAAGCAGGGCGAGAAGGGCTTCGTATCCAACTTCGCGTATGAGCTCAGTAAGCATCGATGCTGGGAGCGCGAGAAGGATGGCCTTGTTTCCAAGGTTGCGTTCTGAAGACGGGGTGGATAGTTAGGCGGACTACGAGCAGTAACGGAAAGCAGTTGCATTGTACACTATTGTAAGACTATGATTCCTGATGCATGGGTGTTTGTCACGATCCTTGAGTGCCCTACCAATGGACTTCATGGCGAGCTACCGCATGAACGTCGGCAGCCGCGGTAAAAAGTACAGATGAGTCGGAGGCGCTCTAGGGAAGGAGCAAAACGACTAGCCCACCGCGAGGGTCGAACTCGCAGCCTTCAGATCACCCGCTAGTAAGAGTCTGACGCTCTATCCGATTGAGCTAGGCGGGCGATATCACAGAAGGACCCTTTGTATTGTTAGATGCTTACGGTGAACGCCAAAGATTTACTCAACACTTGCCTACGCTACATCGAGTACATGCGATCGCCACATTTAGCGGACGGCCACCGTCTAATACTTTCGGCTCCGTCACTATCTACTTGGGACACACGGATCCTCGGCTTTGTAAAAGACCAACAGTACTTGGAACCGGCGTCGTGTTTGGCTGTATGGCTTCTGTGGAGCAACCAAACTCAGAGATTGTTAGGCAAGAGGAAGAATACTTGCGGAAAGTCCACCCGACTCCGGAGGACATCCCAGGATGCATGAAGTTGTTTGACGACTTTCTGCTCTGCAATGGTACGCCAATCATCAAGCTCGCTGGCTGGATGTGTGAGGGACGCTGACGTGGTGAGGGGCAGTGATCGCCTCGCAGGCGCGGTCGCTGTACCGGTACGGCGAGATGGCGACGTGCTCGCCGAAGCTCGAGGACTTCAAGTTCTGCATGAGCATCAAGGGCATGCACCCCGAGGAGAAGCGCGACGTGTGGCTGCGGCGCCGCGCGGAGTGGTGGGCGCGCCGGCGGTCGAGCAAGAGCAGCGAGGACGTGTGGGATGTCCGGACGTGAGTGCGCTTTTGTACCCCTTGTCTGCGTTTGTGTGTGGTCGATGCGGGTGCTGAAGGGGCTGCAGAGAGCCATTGCAGAACTATCCGCCGCGAACGCTGGATCCCAATGTGCAAACGACACGGACTTTCGAGTAGGACTGGTCTCGGTTGTGGCTTGACATCTACCGTTCTCTTCGGTTACAGGTCGTATCCCCACTCTCTACATTCTCGGGAAGGACCCACATGCGTAGCAAGGCAAGCATGCCCAGCGTTGCGCATAGCTGCGCTCATGATATGCACGATGGACGCCACCAGCCTTGGCGAAGGTCTGCACGACTGTTGTCCTCGTATTCGTCGGGGCCGTAGAAAGAGTGGTACAACATACAGTGCGCATTGCGTCAATATAATAGCTACAGGATAACCTACAGTGCGAGCAGAGCAAACAAGCTACCAGAAACCAAAGCAAACGTAACAATCCGCGAGAGCAGTTTGAAAGTCTATACACCAACGCTGCAACACACGACATTTCAGTGACCGCCTCACACATGCGACAGCCTGGGGACTCACCGATGAACAACCTTCTTCTGCCCTGAGAACCTGATGATCTCCCGTTTCTCGAGGATGAACAACGTGCGCTCGAGTGCATGGCTCGAGTACCCTTGCTGTGTCACGAACTCGCGGACGAGACTCTGGTAGCTCGTGCTCCAGCCGATGGGCAAGCGGCGGCGGATCTCTTTCTCAATCTTGTTCATCTCCTCGTTGAGCGCACCGCGCGAGAGGCCATCGGCGGAGCCTGCGGACACGGCGTCCATGGTTGAGAACTTGAAGAGTCGAATCGCCTCCTCGACGTGGTGGTTCTGTACCACGGGTGAAAGCGTGAGTTTCGCTAGCGACTCCGAAATACGGATGATGGCCTCGAGTTGACTGGGCAGGCATCTCTCAGTACCAGGCTATGGATGATCCAGACAAGGCATACCGAATCGTAATAGGAATGGAACTGCGCTCGTCATTATCTTGCTCGACTTGCTGCACTTGCTTCCGGAGCGAGACGAAGTGACTGCTCAGCATTTCCTGCGCTTCAGCAGACAGACGCGGGGCGCATTTTCTGTAGTAAATTCAGTATGCGGAATATGCTATCGTGCAATGACCGACGTACGCCTTGCAATACGCGATGTAGCGCTTCATCTTGTCGAGGTCGATGTCGCCCACCGCATCGCCATTCTCGTCTGTGCTCTGGTTCGGACGGTTCATATGGATGTTCATGACGTGCTTTGCGATCATCTATGGTCCCCAAGTCAATAATGTTCCTACCTTCGAACACAGGCGAGATCAACGTACACGATCACGTTGCTCGTTATGCTCGTCCTTGATGATGAAGATCATATCAAAACGCGACAAGATCGTCGTCTGGAAGTCAATATTCTATATGCACTTCGTAAGTCGCTGCAAAAGACGAAGAACTCGAAGGGCAGTCATACGTACTTCCCCAGGGCTCCGGCCCTCATCGTAGCGACCCCAGACGGGATTGGCCGCAGCCAGCACACTTGTCCGTGAGTTCAGTACAGTAGTAATACCTGCCTTCGCGATCGAAATGGTTTGCTGCTCCATGGCTTCGTGGATGGCTACACGATCCTCATCGCGCATCTTGTCGAACTCGTCTATACAGACGACACCAGTATCCGCTAGGACCATGGCACCACCTTCAAGGTAAAATTCCCGCTGCAGGCAAAGCTATCGGTCACGGTACGAGCCAGTCCCGACGATCAAAACTTACCGAGACGGAGTCGCGTTGGACTGAGGCCGTGAGACCGGCCGCACTGGAACCCTTCCCTGAGGTATACACTGCAATCGGTGCGACCTACGCGTCCTTTAGTACGCGTTAAGGATACAGTACAGCGGCGAACGGGATACCTTTTCAACGAATTTGAGCAGCTGACTCTTGGCAGTACCGGGATCACCCAGCAGAAGTACGTTGATGTCTCCTCGTAGTCGCATACCATCGGGAAGAATCTTCTTGGAACCTCCCATCAGGAGACATGTAATGGCTTTCTTGATGTCTGCATACGACTTTGAGTCACGATATATTCTGAATCAGTGAAGAGGGATGCATACCCAAGCTGCCGTAGATACTCGGCGCCACGCTCTTCGCGAACCTCTCGTAGAAACCCTCGCTACGAGCCATCTGGCTGAATTCCTCTTCCTCCTCCGGCGTGAACTGGACACCAAATGGGTTGGCGCCACCTGCGCCGCCGGCCGCTGGGGATGAGACCTCGAGGTGTACGAGGCGGAGGTACGGATCTCGCAGGGCAGCCGCTCCTTTTGACCGCTGAACACCAGTTAATGCCCCGCTGGACTCGAAACGGAGTTGACACTCACATTCTTCGCAGACTGGTACGTTGAGTAGATGCCTGTCGCGATCACTCGAGATCCGGGAACGACTTGGCCTGTGAGGTATCTGTCCGCGGATAGAAGCATGTGGCGGGGCAGCTCTCCAACAGGTACCATGTCGGGTGCTTCTTGCAGCTTCAACATTTGGTGGTCGGTAAAGGAGGACTTGGAGTGAATGATCAGGTACGGGTCGAGGGGACAATCCTTCTTCTGGTTCTCCAGCTCAGGGGCGTCGCAAACGCGTGGAAGCCCTCGATCTGAGCCACCTCCCAGTCCACCAAGTCCACTTGGGGGATATATGATCTTCGTGGACCGACATGCACGGCATTGAAGGTGTAACTTTGTCGCGCGCGATGACAAGACAGATGCGGAGATGACGATCCCGGGTATACGAACGAGTTTGTTCATAGTGTTAGCGGTAAGGTCTCGAAATTGCTGCAAGTTCAAGCCAGATTTGACGAGAACCTGCACATTGGGTATTGACTGCTGTGCTGCCTCCGAGTTACTAGAGAGAGGAAAGAGGATGCTGCGTGCAGCTTTTGCAGCGGCGGATTCGAACTAATGGGCGTCAGCGGTTTAGCGAGATACATTTCAGCGAGTCATCCAGACGTACCAAGGGCAAGATTTCACCTGGTCTCTCCTGAATTACATGTGCGAGTTCATCGTTGTACAGTCCAACATGTCGCAGATCGACCTCGACCTGATGCTGCTTCAGGAGAAGGTTTGCCCGGAGCTTGTCACTATGCTTGGCCTCAGTGGATTTGCTTGGTAAAGTCCACAATGGGTCTCCTACCGGTAGATGAAGTCTCCACCGACGCGATATTGGAGGAGGAAATCGAGCAATAGCTTCTCCGTCTGGGAGGGTAGTTCGGGCGCAGTTGGTTCAGGTACATCGTGTACCGCAACGGAGTAGACGCGATCAGCATCAAATCCGGACATGTTCCAAGTGTTGCGTTGGGCTAAGGGGGCTGAGGAGAAGGAGTGTTTGGCACGCGGCCACTCGAGACAAGTGCGAGTGAATACGCGGAGACGCGACGCGACGCACAATATGAGGATTTAGGGCAAGCCTGTTCGCGTCGAGGCTGTCTCAGCCTACGGCGCAGTATGTATGCGCTGCTACGCATAATCATTCAAGTTCCCGTTTAGCTCAGTTGGTAGAGCGCGTCACTAGTATCTGACTTCACTCAGCGTGCGTCAGGGCAATGACGAGGTCAGTCGTTCGAGTCGGCTAATGGGAATGACTTTTTGCCCTGCTTAAATGCCATCTGATTGCTTTCGGACGTACTTTGAGGGCTTGAGGAACTAACAAGACTTGCCGTAGCTCATTGCCGAACCCGAGATTACGCCTCTTCTAGGCAAAGCGCCCGAAGAACGCGATGCGCGGCTAAATGAGATTACCAGGACGGTGGCATCCTTGCCAGTGGATCTAGGATACTAGCAGAACACCTCTCGCTGCTCTCTCCATCATCCTTGCAATATGGCGTCCATGGATACCGACGAACTTCCTGTTGTACTCCCTTCAACAACCACATCCGGACTGTCTATCGCACTGTCAGTCTTGCAATGAAGGCTCTCGCCAACCTGCCGCCACTGACGCGTACCGCATTCCAGCCACCCGCTGCCTATACTCAATATCTCTGAGCATCTCACTCGATTACGCCTCCAGACGCGGTCGAAGGTACCTTTTGGTATGACTTGAACACAACTCATGTGGTAGGAGGCACTAATCATGAAGGTGGTAGTGCTCGGTGCGCTCCTTGGTACTCAGAATGGCCGAGATGTCGAGATCGTCAACACGTTTGAACTTGCCATGGAGGATGACGGTATAACCGTGGACCAGGGCTTCCTTATTGCTCGAAAGGAACAGTGTGAGTGGTGGGAAGGCATGCGACTGCGCCATTCCATGTTAACCCCATCCACGCCTTTAGACAAGCAAGTCTTCCCTTCTCTAGAATTCATCGGGTGGTACACGGTCGCAGAGCGACCAACCTCTCGTCACATCGCGCTTCATGAGCAGGTGTGTAGCGGTCTGGTTTTTGTACGCTTGCCTTACTAGAGCTTCTGCTAGTTCACACCATACAGTTCAACGCCACTTCTCCTCATCCTCCAACCATCCACAGTATTCGCCGCATCCGCAGATGCATCCGGACAGTCGTTGCCCCTGAAAGCATACGAGCCCACTACAGAAATCCGTGATCGCAAGACTCGGTCAGTGTTCATTGAGGCGCCTTACTCAGTAGAGACGGGCGAGGCAGAACGGATCGCGGTAGACTACACCGCAAAGGGAGGATCGGGAGGTACCAGTTGTAAGTCATCAGGAAATCACAGATATCCACAGGAATGCTCATTCGTGCAACGTAGTGGAATCACATCTACAGACTCAGCGAGCAGCCGTGAAGATGCTCCATGATCGCATATTGCTACTAGTCAAGTACGTCACCGAGGTCATCGCAGGTAAGCACCAATTACCCTTGCTTGTACGACGCCGTCTCGAAAAGTTCCACGTCAGGCTCTGCCAAGAAGGATCATGCCACCCTCCGCGCGCTTTCAGCATTGATTGCTTCTCTACCCGCTAGCGAGAACAAGGAGTTCAGGGAGGAGTTCGACACGGTAGGCACCTTCCTCGTATCATAATCAAGGCGTTGTTTACACCGCTGCTCCAGGAATACGAGGATGTACAACTGACAGCATACCTGGCTACTCTGACCAAGTCCGCGAATCTTCTGAATGACGTGAGTATATCAATCTTTTCACTATCCGATGACTGACACAATCCCGTCAGCTTGTGGACAAGCATGTTGTCCTGACCTCATCCCGCGAGGACCGTCCAGGGATGGGCGGCAGGCGACGAGGAATGATGGGACGGCCAACAGACTTTGGTTTCCACTGAAGTCCTCCGACCTAACGCTTCAATGAATCGCACCACTCTTTCGGCTGTTATGAGCACCATTTGTCTGCTTTGCAATCGCCTGTGTATCATGTCCTGTGTACTGGCAATATTCGTTCAAGCTGTCGCTCATTTGATGTCAGTGTTTCTGCAACATGCAAGCCAAGGTATTGCCTATCTCTTCGATGCTAGGCTTATCGTCAACTAGCGTAAGTCATAGATGTTGTCATCTCTTCTACATCCGGTCATTGGGTGGCCGCACACGTGAGCGTGATTGCGATCGCGCGAAAGCAGCGCGCCGTTCGCTGTGGCTAGAACGCGGCGCTATGCTGCAAAGTCCCAGGCTCGGAGTGAACATGCTGCTTCTGGTCTCTGGATCATCGCCTGTGCATTGCGGACCTTCCCAGGCTTGCGTGCAGACACATCTTGCTTGCGTGTAAGATCCCTGGAGCGTCCCTATAAGTTCCCGGATAAACAGGGGCCTCGTTCGGATTCGGAACTCTGACAACGAGCATCACTACTCGTTCTCTACATTCAACAATAGCTTGCATTCGAATATGGCCAAGGTCTCGACACTCTCGTGGTCGTCTTTCGTGGGATTATTCAATGCGCAGGGGCTGTATCAGGTCGGATATGCATGGCTATTTGGCATGAGTGAGTGTTTCACGAAACTCACTTAAGTTAACGTGAACGAGGAGTGCTCATGCTACGCGGATTCTCCTAGCCCTTTGGGTCACCTTCATTGGAGGTACGTCTCCTGCACGTCCAAGTGAACTACGGTCCTCACACTAGGCATGTACCATAGGTACTATCGCATTCAAGACGCTGCCTCGCCAGCAGTTTGGAACGCTGCAACATCGCACGTTCCCCATCTACTTCGTGATCAGCATCGCGCTCTCTTCAGGGCTGCTTGGGGTCTGGGTATATAGCCACCCGTCGGTGCTCACGAATTACCTGAGCCCTTTGGAGGGTGATGTCGCACAGGCGTATGCACTTGCGGCTGTAGTGCTGAGTCAGGCGGCGAACCACGCCGTCATCGGGCCCTTGACCAGCAAGTGAGTGTGCTATCAGTGATTTATAGAGCGCAGAAAGTTAACAACTCCTGTCTCGTGCAGGACTATGTTCAAGCGTCACAAGCTGGAGAAGGAGGAGGGCAAGGCATACAACGAGCCTACTGTACGTGTGCATATTATGCCACCGACTTCTCTGATGCTCATTCCTTCGAAGGTCTCCGCTGAGATGAAGGCTTTGAACAAGACGTTCGCCCAGCTCCACGGCATCAGTTCGCTAGCTAATCTTACGGCCTTCTTGGCCCTGTTGTTCCACGGCCTCTGGATCGGCAACACCGGTGCAGGTATCAAGAACATCCTGTGATCCCATATGACTTCACGATACTTTTTGTACAATGTAACTCTAGGGAACTGGGTGGATTCAGACGTTCGCCCACTGGGGTTAACGCAGAGGATGTGAATAACAGAGTAAAAATCGATACCAATAGTACATTCATGGTACAGGGGGGGGGCAAGTTCATGCACCGTCATGCACCGACAGAATCCATACCAGGAAGGAATCCTTCCCTGAGCATCCGCTCCAATCTCCGGATCTCCTCCACCGACGTGGCCCGCGCGATCGCCTCTCGCACCTTGTCTGCCTCCTCCTTAGACATAAGCCTTCCCGCCTTTCCGTGTTGCAGTGCAGGCTTCGGCTCGTCCGATGTGACGGGCGGTTTCGACGAGTGTGTCGAAACTGTCTGGGAGAGGGTTGTTGCGAGCTGGGTGGGAAGATTGTCTGCAGTCAAGAAAAGTGTACGCGCGGCTTGCCGCTCCTTGAGACAGTGAAGGTGTTGAGAAGCTGCACGAGACGCATCCGCGAACAAGGCGCACCTTTTCCCGAATCCGCTGGAAGTCCAATACTCTCAAGTTAGGAAGACGCCATGCTAGCCATTCGCGGTACCACTTCTTCTCGCGGACAGGGTTGCCGATGAGAGAGAGGTATCGAAGAGACTTGAGGTCCTTGAGAGGCTCAAGATCGCCAAGCTCGGCGAGGTTGTTGTTCGTGAGGACGAGGGTGGTGAGATTGGGGACGGATAAGTGGAGGGACGATGATATGGAGGATATTCGGTTGTTCGCGAGAAGGAGGGTGCGGAGGCGGCGGAGAAGAGGGATATTCCCCAGGACGATGATGGAGTTGTCGGTGAAGTCTATGCAGTCATTTTGATCCTAGAATGGTATGTTAGAGAGCGCGATAGCTAGCACTATGAACTACGAAAGGCACACCTTGGTGATACCAAGATTTTCAATGGCAGGGATGGTATAACCTACAACGTATGGCTTTGAACGATAGCTTATGCGCTACGAACGAAAGCTGCTCACCTCTTAGGTCGAGCTGCCGCTCTTTGACGGGGTTGATGTGCGACGGTACGGTCTCGATGAGCTCGGGCGTGAGCTTGACCATGGCCAGTCCGATCCTGCCGTGGTCGTGGTCTTGCGCGAACGAGGCAAACCAATCCTGGCAGGCTCAGAGAGGAAGCGCGCGTGTGGCGCGAAATCACACCGCGGCGCGCTGCGGTCCCTTGCTGCAGTCTGGCTCGCGCGTTGGCCGTATTCAGCGTGCATCATCATCCGCTCTCCTCCCCTCTTCCTCTCTCCGACCACCACCATGAAGTCCCTGCACCAGAGGCTGACGCTGTGCGTGTCTTCATATCTCTCTCTAAGCTTGGTGTTGACACTAGCGTGCACAGATACAGCGACGGCAATGAGACATACACGTTCGTTCCTGCTGAGCCGGTTGGGGCTCGCTCCTTGACTATTTATCGGAATTCCGGAGACATTGTACTGAATGGTATATGGCTTCACATGCACTTGAGAAACATGCTCATCGGCAACAGCTCCAAACACACCATTACCCGTCACGGCTGAACGTTCGCCGAAGACAATATATGGGATATACGGCATGATATCACTCGCTATGTGTACGTGAACTGGCGGTCTCTTCGTGGGTCTATGCTAACTGTCTAGGTAGCGGAGTACATCATCGTGATAACTGGGCGAGAACTGCGCGGCCATATCATGAGGCAGAACATCTACCGGGCAACCGAGTATGATATCCTACCATTGAACCCTGACGTCTCCGTCCAGTCACCACCGAACGCTGTCGAGGCGCATCTGCTGGCACTTGTTCGCTCACACTTGCAAGGCGGCAGCTTCTTCTTCAGCTATGCTTGGGACATCACGCGAAGACTACAGGCGCAATGGGCCACCCTTCAGCAGGACGGCGACAAGGCGCTTTGGGAGATTGTGAGTAGCCCCTACTATTGGTGTTGATATACTGAGGATTCATAACAACCTATGC